AAACACATCCAGCATTAAATATTGTAATAATAATGGTAAATATTGAGGCACATGAAGTCAAGCAGTTTGGGTTTTGCTTCTATTTCTGTCACTTGCTGTGTGCCCTCACTGAGTCTATTTGTCCCTCAATCATATTCATTTAAGATGATAAAATAAAGTTTATGTACCTTAACTGTTTCTCTCCAACTCTAGGTTTTGATCAGGTCACCTACTAATGAAGTTCCTACGTGCCTTACATCACTGTGTGAGGTTTTGCTGAATGTTGATGAGCTTTGAGATACTTGAATGAAAGGCTTTATTAGGTATATAAAATGTCTCCTTTGAGAACTGTCTTAATGATGAACACGGCATTCCATGAGTCTTCCTAGAAGGTAAGAGTCATGATCCTGTACGTATTAGATTAGCACAGGTAAGGCACGAATCTGGAGTGTCTGGGGATGTCAGGCGGTCACAATTTCTACTCATTTGATACCAATGAGTCTCTCTTAAAAGAATACATTAACAGTTTCTAAAACCAGTCATTGAGAATTATCCCACATCATCAAAATGTTGCCATTTATAATACACCTATTATCAATGCCCTTTTCCATTGCAGCTTCTAATTATCTGAATTTGACACTGATTAAGTATATTCATGACTTAGAAACTGAAATAAAGCAGTATGCTAGAGGAAGATAACACAAATTACTTTGGTAAAACTGAGGTGCTTTTTTTTTTTTTTTTTTTCTAAATGTGCCCTTTAAACAAAAAGTTAATTCTGGAAAGAAGTACAGGATTATGTTCACTATCATTATTCTTGGTTAGGTAATAAGTTGCCAAAGTCTGGTTTTTGCTTTGAGTATCTGTTGGTCTGTTGACTGAGGCTGAGGATGTTTTGGATCCTGATCTTTTTTTTCTTGATCTTGTGAATTTGTTCAGTGCTGCTGTTGTGTAAATGACTGTAATATCACTGTTCTGGCAAAGTGATACATTGTCTTGGTTCCACTAAGGTATTAGGACTTGATTCTATTGGGAGCTATTTTCTTTGTCACTTTTAGCATACATCTAAGGAGTAGCATGGATATAAATTCTTTGATTTTTATTTTTTTTAATCTGTTTCTGAGGGTGGCGGGTAAAACCTGTATTATTCACATACAGTTTGGCATTTGTTTTTTGTGGTTTGAATAATGCCTGTCATTTTTGTTATTTTACTGACGGCTTTTGATTTCTTATTGAGGATGTCTGAAAAATTTGCTCCTGCAGTTCTAACATCAGCTTTATTCAAATTAATTCCTTCATCTTTTGCCTCTTGTATTTCATATACTCAAGTCATAGAACATGAGATGAAGACATGGTTTGAAGAGAACTCAGTCTTATTTTTAGTCCTCTGTAAAGGTCAGATTTTTGTCTTTATTTTTATATTAAATGTATTGGCCTTCTTTTTTTAAAGGGAGCCATATTAACTGCTGTCTTATTTACAATATAGATATTTTTGCAAATATGAAATCATCCCTGTTAGTTCTGCCAGCAGCATCAGTGTCACACATGTCTGTACTTCAAGTTCTGTGTCAGTGAGAGCTATTCTATGCCACAAAGTTTAATGTGCCCAAAGCAACCATCGGCCCCTGGGTGTTTGGAATATACCCAGCACCATGGGGTATTCAGATTCATCTGAAAAGGATACACACACTATTTTTATAGACTAAGGACAGATTATGTTACAGTGCTGGACTTCAAGACTTCAAGCCTAATTTGCCTCCTCGAGGGCTATTAGCAAGCTGGAAAACCGCTGTGTATGAATGACTTCCACATACAAATGCCAAGCTAACATTTTTATTATTGAAACCACATTATGAAACTGCTACTTTTATCCTGATTTCTTCAATATTCTAGGTTAGATTTCTGGACGCTAGGAAGACAGGTCTCATCAGACTTTGTGAATAAACTGATTAAGTTTAAAGTAGCTGTCTTTTTTCTTGTCAATGGGTATTAAGTTACGTAAACCAGAGGCAAATAAACATAGTTCAGTTGTTCCTCTGATCCTGCTACTTCTTCCTCACTTGATAAGGTGTGTACAGGTGGTTTATCATTTTCCAAACAATGTGTTGTGATACCAGAAGGGATGATTGTGTTTGGGGTACAACTTAATAGATTCACCATAAAAAAATGTGGATTTTATTTTAATGATAATTTCTTGAGAACATGGTGAGAAACACAAAAAATGCTATCTCTGAGCATGATCATCTAGAAAGAGTAATTCCTCAAGAGGATCAGTAGGATCTTTTGTTTTACAGATCTGTTATTTAAGTATAGCCCTTGAAACAGAACAGGTGCCAGCAGAATCCTGGGTCTCAAGGGAGGGGAAAATGGAGAGAAAGACCAGGTGATTTCTAAGACAGAAGGAAATACTTGAGTTTAGGACAAGGTCAAAAAAAAAAAGCAGGATTTATGTCTAAAAGAGACTGAACGTCCGTTTCCAAGGGTTTACCAACATGCCTGTTGTCAGTCACAGGCATATGGAGATACTGCGTATGACCTGGGTGTGCAACACATGGAGATGTGTATTTGACAACTTTCTGCTAATTAGTCATTAGCCTGCAATTTCAGTTGGTGAAATTACGCATTCTTACAGGGTAAAAGACTTTTATTGGAAAGCAAATCTTGTGGTTCTTGTTTGCGTTTATTAAGAAATAGTAAGGAAGTCGCAAATGGTTTAGTAGAGGAACAGGGAGGTTGAGATCACCAACTGGTTAAAAAGTGGATTGAAGGGAAATCAGCTTCACTGTCTGTTGAAGAGAGAGGTGACAAATTTCCAGAGGCAAGTAGGAAAGAGGTGTCTTCAAGAAGTCTGTATTCACTCTTCATCTGTTTTTTTTTTCATTCTGCTATAAGAGATATGAGTACTACCAATTTAGTGATGACTTTTGAGTCATGTTACGTTCTTATTTCAGAAACCAACTGCAGAGAGTAAAACCAGATAATTAGGACTGATACTTAGCTCTTCTAAGGATTTTACATCTAGAGACAGCAAATCCCTTTAACTGGTGTCATGAAGCGCATTTTACAGGTGGAAAAGGTCACACACAGAAATGTGGAATAACCTGACAGAGGAGTCCCAGAGCCAGGAACTGAACACAGTCCCTGAATTCTTAAGAGAGTGTTAAGTCATTGAGATGCCAAGAACTGCAGAAATGAGTTGTAGCATTGTTTAAAGACCCACGTGAAAGATGGCAAACAGGAAAAGCCTGCTCCCATTGACTTTAGTGAAGTCAAGATTTCACATAGGCATTGAGTGTGATAGGAGAGGTAGCCTGTAACTTAACAAGTAAAAAATGACTTAAAAGCCACACTTTAGTTACGTTCCTCCAGGAACTAATCCTGAAGACCTATTATTTGAAAATAACTTCAGTGCAAATGGGCAAACAGATAATGATGACTCTAAGATTAAGAAGCTCTAGACAGTGGCATAAGGGAAAAAAATAAGAAAATAAATTTGGAATTAGAGAGTTTTTGATATTTTAAACAACTTGGAAGATTCAAACAAAAGTGAAATTATGCTAGATTTTTAGATAGCGACTTGACAACTCGGTATTATAATGTGTTGCAGGTTTTGACAAGCTGGGGTTTGACCAGTTTACATGATGGTTTTTGTCTACACTTTTATTTTACATGGTTTCATTCACCAGATAAGTCTATCAAAATATAAACGCTCGGTGTCAAAGAGCCAGAAAACGTACTTGAGCTTTATGTCCATGTCTTTGCACTCAATGCTTTAAGAGCAGAGTGAAATACGTTTCAGGATAAATATTGATCAAGATCTACATTTACAAAGGTATTTGTGTCAGATTGTGTTGTCTCAAAAATGACTAAGTATTCCTGAAGTAAAATCATAGAAGACAAATTAGTTAAATGGGGCAGCTGGACAAAACTTTCAGCAAATGACAGAAATGAGAGTATAAGGGTTACGTTTAATATGTTTGCTTTGTCCTGTTCATACAGGGTGAAGCCAGAATGATGAAACACTAAGTCTTTTAGCCTGACCTACTAGCTATCCCTGGCCCCACTACATTTTATCCAATTATACCTGTGGTAAGTCCAGCTACTTCTATTGAGATAGAATATATTTTCCACAGAGACATCTTGCTTTGTTTGGAGATTTCCAGAGAAGAAAACACAGCTTCCCTCCGTAATTTGTGCCAACGATTACTCATTCCCATCGATAACAATTCTAATTTGAATTTGCCCAATTTCAGCTTCCAGATGTTGGTTGTCTATTACTCTTTTCCTCTACAAGATTAAAGGGCCTTTTGATTCCTGGTATTTTCCCCGATGAAGGTATGTACGTGCTGTTATCCAATTGCATCTCCTTCTTAGCATGGTAAGTGGTCCGACTTCTTTTTATACAATCTTTTAACCAGCTTTGTGGCTCGCCACCTCACTCTCACGTATTTTCCGAACATGCCTGTACGACTGCGAGTGCCAGGCGTGGAGCCACCATCCCATGGGCAGCCTTGGGTGCTGCAAGCACGGGGAGATGAAATTAACTCCTTGCTCCTCCTCACCTTCTCACACTTCACAAAGACGTTGGGCAGTCAGCTGTTCGTGCGGCCAACATGCGTTATATTTACCACTTGCCTTTTTTTAATCCGAGACAAACGGAATGATTTACCAAGTCCAGTTGGCGTGTAAGGGGCTACGACGGCGGTGTCGGCACCCGGGAGCGGGCTGGCTGCCGCGGAAGGGCCGCGCGAAGCCCCCACGGCACCTCAAATCGGGCGGGTGGGCTGGGGCAGGGCAGGGCACGGCGACTTCTCGGCGCCGGGGCCCGAGCACGGCGCTGACAGGAAGGGGAGCGGCGGGAAAAGGCGGGAAGCGGCGGCGGGGGCGAGCGGGCGGGCGCCTGAGGAGATGGCGGCGGGGCGGCGCCCGTCCCGCCGGGCTGCCCCGGGAGGGCGGGCGGGCAGCGCCGGGGCGGGGTGTGCACGTTGGTGTGAGCGTTGCGCGGCACCGCCTCCCTCCCTTCCCTCCCTCCTTCCCTCCTTCCCTCAGGCTGCCCTGGCAGCTGGCGCGGAGGTACCGCGGTTGCGGTGGGGAAAAGCCGCGGAACCGAGCCGAACCGAGCCCCCCCCCCCCCCGCCGCGCCATGCCGGCCGCCGCGCCGCCCCCGCTCCACCCCGCGGCGGGCTCCTGCTGCCCCTACGGCCACTGCGCGGGTGAGTGTCCCCGTCCCGCCGCCGCCTTCCCGCGTCACCCGCCCTGCCCGAGGAGGGGGTCGTCTGGGGAGGAGGAGGAGGAGGAGGAGGAGAGGGGGGGAAGCTCCAGCTCCGTGGGGCGTGAGGTGGAGCCAGTGGCGAAACTTCCTTCGCGTGTCCGTGGGGTTGCGGTTTCAGCGCTCGGTGGCGTTTGGGCTTGAAACGTGGGGAGGTTTGGAGAGGGACGGGGGAAGGAGCCGTTCCCGCTTGGGCGGTGGGGTTGAGGCGAGGGCTTTGGGAGGGAAGGAAGGCTTTTTAAAAAAGGGGTGGGGGGTGGGGGGAGTGCGTTTCCCCCGAAGGTGCGAAGATGAGGTGGTTATTCCACCGTGCACCTTCAATAACTTGTATTTTTGATGGAAAGGGGGAAGCCCCCTCCTCACCCGCGCTTTGTATCGGGGGGGGGGGGGGGCTGTGGTCCTCATCCCCGGCTGAGAGAGCACTGCAGCGGCCGTGCCGGGTCCGAGAGCCGGTCCCCGGGTCCCCGGCGTGGGGTCGGCCGTTCCGAAAAGCACGGCAGGGTGTTACCGGTACTGCGATTATAAACCGAAGATGGGGAAGTCACTCGCGAAGTCACTGCGAGCACAGTTCGCTCGGAGCGGGTGCCCGGGGGCTGCTGCGAGAGCACCGGTGCCCGGCAAAAAAAAAAAAAAAAAAGTAAATATCAGCGATGTAAAGGTTTAAAGCTGTTGCACAACCGTGTGTTAAAACACGAGGGTGGTGAATTTTCCCTCAGGGGGGAAATTGCTGCAGCTGGCGGGTCAAAGCAGGGGGGCTGCTGTGTCAGATGGGGATGCTGTGACATGTGGTAGCCAAACCTCCCTGGGGAAGAATGCCGGTCGTGCCCTCGCATCCCCTGACTTCTGTGGTTAATATCGGTTGTGTTCACTCCTATTTAATAATGGAACCGATATTTGTAGGAAAACTATTCCATAACTTTTCACTGCTCAGCGTTATTTTCTGACTTCCTCAGGGGACATTCAGTATATGATGTCAGCAGGGCTGGATGAGCCACTGGTTTGAGCTGATGGAACAGGTTTGAGGTTGTGAGACTCTGTGTTTGGAAACAACCCCATAAACTGAAACTTTTGCTACACTGTATACTGAAAAGTTTCCTTTTTTTTTTTTTTTTTAAAAAAAAAACAAACTAAAACCCACAAACAAACAAACAAAATCCTTGCAACAGTATAACAAAACTATGGCTTCTTCCTCTGAGCATTTAGATTGCAAACTGTCTTGTGCCAGGGGATACCCTAAGAGTTTATCACCAAACCTCGTAGTTCACCATGCATGCTTTTGCTACTAGCTTTATATAGAAATGAAAATGTACACATGCATGTTTGCATGCAAGTTTGTCTTCCCACCTCTTTGTCTCCTTTTTCTTTATCCCTCCCTCCCCTTCCATTCCCACCCCCACCCCCCCCCCCCGGCTTTTATTCTTGATGCTTCTTGTGTTTTTAATATGGTCTAAATCCAGTCTTGACTCTTTGAAGTGTTGAGAACCAGCAGAGTCCCAAAACAGTCAGCAAATGAAACCAAGCTTGCAAAACATGTTACAGCTACTTTATGTAGTGGAAGTGAAGTTATTATAGCAGCTCTGTCATGCTTTTCTCAAAAGTTTCGTGTATCCTGCAGCTCTCTGGATAAAACTGATCCTGCAGAGTTAGAGTCTCTTTCTTGTGTAACGGGTGTGGATCTCCTGAAATGGCATGACTCCATGAAAATTTTTCTAGTATGTTGGGACACATCCGCTGAGAACTAGCTTCTGGTAAATCTCCATCTGTGGTTCATTAACCTGAATTGTTTAATTTGACTTAAACTGTCAACAAAGATAAGATAACTTGTTTTTAATTCAAGATATTGGCAGCTGTTCAAGCTTCTGAATTTCAGCTGTGCTAGTTACCTTGTCTTTATTGGCTTTTTTTTTTATACTTAAGTTAATTGCCTTGGGCACGCTAACCTGAGTTTTGAATATATCTTTACCTTGTAGCATGACTATATGCTTTGTATCTGTCTGCACTGCTGCTTTTTCTAGCCGTGTTCTGCAGAGCTTCACAATTTTGGCATCTGCGGGACTTCAGCATGTGGTGACGAAGGGAAGTTGTGTGGGATTCATTTCCCCATTTCTAAGATTACTTAGCTACATTTGTTTTCTGCAGAAAGATCTATAGTTTTGTAGAAATCAGGAAACCTGGTGGTCCTTCCTTTTTTCCAACAGCTCTAGGGCAAGTTGAGTTGGTTTCTGTCACTGCTTTTCCTCTTTTCATTTGACTTGATTCTTAAACATTTAACAACATTTGAAATCAGCATTAGATATATTTTCTTGTAAATATAATTAGCATCAGAACATTGTGGTGACTTTATCAGCTTCAGTTAGGTCTGATCCAGATGTCAGTCAAGGCAATGTGTATCTTTTAATTAGCTTCAGTGAAACTTGGATCAGAGCTAAAAATGTAGTAGTTGAGAGAGGTGAATGTGACACTTATGTTCTTAACAGTATAATATTTTCCTGGTTTTTCTTATTTTCAGACTACTGGGTCTGTCCTTTTGGAGTGTTCACCAGATACTGGGAAGAATGAAAAAAAGAGGGGGAGCTACTGTCTCGATTGGTTCTAATGTAAATTTGGAGTTTTGGTAATGCTTGCAAATTGTTCATCTTACCTAGCAGTAGTTCGCCTTCACTCCAAATGAAAGTTGGCCATGTTGACCATCTTCCCTTTATTGCTCGTATAGTTTACTCTGTCTAATTATTTTAAGAATGCAAAATAATTATTTGTGTCATATATTCTTAGAAGAAGCTCTCTGTGATCATTCTGAAAACACCATCTCCCACTCAATCAGTATTGCTAGCCTGCATATATACTCCAATTTTGTAGTTTTCTTGTCACCCCAAATAATGTAGTTAATGAAAATGCTGGGAAACGTCTGGTGGTGTGAAAATCCTGATCTTTCTGCTTGTGATCATGTAATCAAGTCTAGCTAGCTCTGGCTTGGAGTTTTCCTTAAGAAACCTATTTTCTTTTGTAATTTCTTCAAAACATTTTATCTTGCAGTATTGGCTTTTAATATACGAGTCTCTTCTGAAAAAGTGGTTCTGTAATAATGGGGTTGGGAATTCTACATTTATATGCGAGTTAACTGCTCTTAAACGTGCTAAATTTCCAAAGAAAACTTTTGGGTAATTGCCCCCTTTGCAAACCAGATGGAGAATCAGACTCTGGCTGGGTCTTTGCTTTAGTTATGAAACAAGGTTATTGGTAATAAAAGATCTGGAAGACTAATTAAACCCTCAGTGACACCTCTGCAAGTTCTCTTATTTTCACTGGGTTTGCTCAGTTGCAACTGATTAGTCATCAAGTTGAGATTTAGGAAGCAATGCAAATAAAGTCTCCCACAAGAAGAAACAGAATCCTGCTCCTTTGACTGAGGCAACGCTGGCTAACAGGATTAAAAAGCATTGAAAGCTTACTTTGTGGTGAAACATGAATAATTAATTTGAAATATATGGTAGTTCAAGAGTCAAGAGCATCAGTGTGAAAGTGAAACTCCCTGTACACTGAGCATTGAGAAACACATGGAGGGCTTTGCCAGATGGATCCTGGCAAATATCACAGTTGTGTAAGATGTTTTTGTTTCTGTCAGTTTTGTTCCTCTCCTGAAAGATTCTTGATGGAAGGTCCTGGACTGCAGAACTCAATTCCTTGGTTACTGGGGCAGACCCTGAAGCTGTCAAACTGCATAAAGCAGCCATGGCTGTTCCCAATAAAATACACAGCCTGTCATCTTTGAAAGAAATTAAATAAATGAGCAGTTTCATAATATTCTTTTTTTGGTTTTATGCAGGGTAACAACTTAAACTGAGCCTCACACCTCCAAAGGCACTGATTCATTTCACGTGCAGTCTTACATTTCACTTAGTCTTTACAGATTATGCATTTGTATACTTCTTTAAAGAGCTTTCTTTATGCTCGCTTTTTAATTTGCTACCCTTAAAATGTCAGAAAGAAGATAATGAAAGGGGGGTTCTTTTTAAAAAATAAAAAAAAAAAAAAAAAAAAAAAAAATTTATGGCACTTGTGACTCATTACCAGACTACATGAAGTCTTTACCTTCATCTGCTGCTCTGGGGGTGATTCAGCTCAGTTTAACACTAACACATGGCAATAGCCATCTGTGTTTGCTGTAAATATTTTATTTTTTAATTGCAAATGGCTTGATTTAGAAAATCCTAAACTGTACAGTGGGGTAGCTGTGGGCCTGCAGGGGAAGGAGGTGAGTGCCTGGGAAGGCAATTTTTGCCCAACCACTGTTGCCAGGTTGAAAAAGGGAGCACAACACCTGGAGAGCAAACCAGGCTGCCCTGCAGCAGTCGGGACCCTGCTGCTCCTTCCTGGGGGGAGCTGGATGGGAAAGGGCCAGGGCAGGCTGCAGAGGGGCTCTGAACATTTAGCAAAGGAGAGGGGGCGTGGGAAGAAGCAAGGAAAACCCTGAGTTTATCTTTGAGAAGAAAGAGGGAAAGGTGGCTGCTAAATGTTATTTATCCCTCGTGGTTCTCATACAGTGAATACAGTCACATGTTGCTGCATGCTGAGCCTCCTACATGCGTTTTGCTGTGGGATGGCACCCACAGTGGGGCTGGGGGTGACACAGAGGCACCATCCATCCTCAGGACGGAAAAATCCAGAGCTCATCTAAGCCATAGCAAGGGAACCCACGTGGACATCCCTCAGGCTTCCTCCTTGTGCTGAAGTCCAGCCAGCTGTAAGGTTTTCTACCTAGTCCCTCCAGATAGTCCTTCCTGTCTTGGCAACTCCTTTGCTATAACATCTGCCTGCTTTTTAGCTGCTCTGGTACCCTTTGCCTTAGGTTACCACTAGGATCTCCCATAAACTCAGAGGTCTCTGTCCCAAAACTGGCAGTGAAAAGGGAGTGAGAGAAATGAGCAGGGAGAAAGGAGTGGAGTT